CCTTTGGCATGATTTTTTATAACAGTCAGATCTGCAGTAAATTCAACATCACAACAGGAACAGCTCTTGTGGGTTTATCTGTAAATAACAAAAATTGCGCTAATATCTAAGAGAAGTATTTATTTGTTTTGTATTTTAGTTACCAATGCAACAAACAACAACGGAGGCAACATTATTATCTACAAAGCCAAATTGTACCTACTGCTTTTCTGTTAAAAAATATAGTCCGTCTAGAAAGTATCCGGAAAAAAGAAAGCAGAATTATAATTTTACGGTATTTATTTCTATCACTTGAAATATTAAATTTCAACAAATAATTTATCTCATTTACTTATACAACCCCCATTTAAATCTAAACACTTAACTAAACGTCCAGTTACACCCGAAACTAGGTCAAGGCCATAATTTTTGAAAATGGTGTTCTTGGCCTGTAAAACTGACCCAATTAAATCTTCTTTATCCCGCGGCGCTACTCGTTCCACATCAATCTTCATCAGTCCCCACATGTTTTCAATGAGGCTAAGATCTGGAGATGCAGCTGGCCACAGAATTGTTGCCAATTCATGTTCTTGCATCCAAACGTGAGTATAAGCAGAAGTATGGCGTATTTCATTATCTTGCTGAAAACACCACCCCTCTGGATATAAAACATGATTTGTTTCTAGAAGAAAACCATTTAGGATGTCAAAATATTTCGCACTATCAACAGTACCATTAACTATACAGAGAGATGTAGCACCACGCTGAGATATTGCTCCCCAAACCATTATTTTAGTGGGAAATTTGGAAATTTGAACGGTGACATTTTCGCTTGATAGGACTTTTAGATGATTTGCACCAAGCTGGAAACAACTTTCATCAGATATAAAGACATTAAAATTATCTTCTCGAAAACGAATACAAAAATCTATTCTTCGTTGCCTTTGCAGAGGTGTCATTGTAGGGATTTTTTTGGATTTGCTTGATATGTAGCCTTGCTTTTTTAGTGACATGCGGACAGTTTCTGGGCATACTTTTATTCTTCGTTGATTTTCAAATCTGTTCGCTAATTTTCGAAACCCTAGGCGCGGATTTTGTCGTCCTAAAGCCACTAAGGCATTTAAATTGTTTCCGCGAATCTTACGCGGTCTACACGAAACTGGTCCATGTCTCATATCTATGCCATTTTTTATCCTCTTTATTGTCTCATCCAGTGCAGTTTTTCCGAGTTCAGTCAATTGCACTAATTTTTTTACGTTTCGGACAACCTTTCTATACAAATATTCCACCACTTTTCATTTTTCTACTTGCGACATTATTTCACAAATCTTAAGTATGTTTACAAACAACAATATTTGACAGATGGTGTTGTCATACGATTTTGTCCATAACCTACTATCGGCACAACCTACTTGATGCATCACTTTTGTCTTAAAATGTAACAAAAAGAAAATCTATTAAAATTAGGAAAAATATAAAACTCCGGATACTTTCTAGACGGACTATATATGCTACTTACTAAATAGCATTAGCAATATGTTTATTAGAAGTCTAAAAAATATATTTTAACATAGAATGTTTAACTTTACCTTTAACTGGTTCTAACCATCCTGTAAAATCAGAATTCTGTTTCCATTCTATTCGGAAATTTGTGGCTTGCTTTGTCTACGTCCTGTATTATATTAATTTTTTTTTACTTTCTCCCTCGGAGTCAGAATCAGAACTTGTTCTTCTTAACTCTGAGCTACTATCGTGTATTTACAGCCACATAACTACTATCGTGGGGTCATAGATGACCCGAATTTTAAAAACCTCTAAACAAGATATAAAAATATATTTTATTGTTTTTGTATTTTTGACAAATGAATGTGTGTATATAAAAAAGAGATTTTTTGTAAACTTAAATTTTATTTCAAGAAAATTAAGGTGCTATAATAAAAATTATAGAACTTTTGAAATAAATTTTGATCAAAAACATAACTCATTATTATAACAAAAAAAATATATCTTAAATATATTCTGTACATTTATTTAAGAAAAAATAAAATATGTTTATTCATTTAAATCTAATAAAATAAAAAATGAGAACCGAGATACTGAACTGAAAACGAGAAGGTTGGCGCTAACTGACACACACGTTGGCACTTGTAACATGTAACATTAATAATAGTAACGAAGCGGGAAATACAAGGCTTCTCTCTGTTGTCACATTTATATTGGGTACATATACTACATATTTATATTATAAGGGATTGGTCTGGATTATACTAAGTATAAGTAGATTAGAGAAAAAAAAAGAGGACTTAAAAACTTTATTTGTCATGTTCATTTTAAACCATGTAATATAATTCTTAAATCATATAATATAATCTCAAACTAAATGAAACATTGGAATAACAGTCAAACAAATAAAACCATTTTAATAAGTAACAGAAGATATTAGATCTTAAACAAATCAGACACTTATTCTCTAAAACAATCAACACTTATTAAGAAAAAAATATATAAATATAAACTCAAACTGATTAAAATTTAAACTCTTAATTGATTAATTCCTATAAAGATGATTAGATGATTATAACAAAAGCCCTTTTCATTAAAAACGGGGAAATCGAGTTATTAACTTAAAAAATATAAAATGAAAAATGATTACTAAAGCCTAATCATTTTCTTTTTCATACCAACGATCTTTTGATATTTTGGACATTAGTGATTTTCCAATTTCAAAATTGCAACAGGTGTTTTCTCCTTCTCCAGCTATATATCTTTTAGCGTGAAAATACCTGTTATTGTTTCCGTTGATAACCGATTTCTCTGTTTGGTTTTAAGTATGTTCACGGTAGAAAATATTTGCTCAACATTTGCTGAGGACTGTGGCAAAGATAGAAGGTTGAAAATAAAACTTGTTAAGTGAGAAAACGTTGGTGTTCCGTCGCCATTTTTAAATTTCGTAACATCCTTCCAAAACTGTTCTACATATTCATCTAAATCTTTTATTTCTTCCGTATTTCGCAATAGACGCCACTCAGTGTCAATTGCCTGCATTGGAATATTGGTCGAGGTCGAGGATGAGACTAATCCAGGGAAAATAAGCCACACATATGCGCAATAGATGAAATTTCACCAGATTTAACTTTTGCAGGATCTATAATAGACATTTCTTTTAGCTTATTGCTTTCTAAGGGCATTCTTTTAACAATTTGGTTGCAACTTTCAATGTAAAAGTTAAGACATGTCAATTGAAATAAATGTTTTTGCTCTGGAGTTAAATCTGTATGGTTATGAAAAATATTTTGTACCCTCGCGCCATAATATATTTGTTCAAGATCTAAATAATTTATAGGATTTATAAAATCAATGTTTTCGATTGACTTGTCCAAAATACATTCTCTTTTTAAAAAACAGTCGAACAATGTTCTTAAAGTTGAACAGATTTTGGAATACACTAAATGGATTTTAGGCGACTGTGATTGCATTTCTTTATTTATGTTATTAAATAAGGGTAATACGAAATCTAAAAATGACAGAAATAAAAGAGTAGTAACATCATTAAGTTTAACTAAGATATTTTCAGCTGCAAGTAGATTCCTTATTCTGAACAGCATCTGTGAAAAATAACTTCAGCGCATTATATTGTTCCAATATACGCGATATTGCAGCATGTACGGAAAGCCAGCGAGTTTGGGACGGATGTAATATTCTATGAAATTTAACATTACAGAATGATTGAAATTCTCTATATTCAGAAATCCGTTTAGGACTTGAAGAAAAATAATTATGAATATCTCGCACTAAGTCTTCAACAAATCTTGGCAATTTTTCGCATGCGTAAGATGCACACAAGTGGTACGAATGACATATACATTTCATAATAAAAATTTCAGGTATTTCATTTTTTAATAGAGTCATGAAAGAATGTTTAGAACCCATTATAACATTAGCTCCATCAGATGCAAAACCAATGAGATTATCCTTGTAAGGGATATTATGTTCAGCAAAAAAAATAGCACAGCTTGAAGAAGAGTATTTGCATCTGCTGAGGCTAGTGGTATGAGAGACAGAAAGGAATCTTGAATAACATAGTTTTTTCATACCTTACGACTAAACATAAATGCTTCGTGGTGGAAAGATCAGTCGATTCATTTATTATTAGAGAAAATTTTTTTCGTCGTAAATCTTCACATAAAATTTCAAAACTATCTTCTCCTATTACTTTCTCGATTATGTTCTGGCTTTTTGTGCTAGCACATTTCAACTCCTTAATAACATCTGGATTAATAGTTTTCAAGAGATCGGGTAAATGATCCATAATTTACAAGAAAAGCGCATAATCTGATTTCAGCTAAAATTTTTATAAAGATAACAAACTGAAAATTCAAATATATAAACGTTATGACTTACCTTTTCTTTGATCTTCAGATTTATTAGTAATACGATCAAATTGCAGTTTTGGTTGGGATTTCATGGCTTTAGCCTTGTCCATATGGATTTTGCTATTAGCATGTTTATCAACAGCATCAGTGCCAGAACTAACATTTATATGTTTAGCACAACAAGAGCAAAATGCAAAATTAACCCCTTTGCTACTCTGTTTTATCCACCCAGAATATTTCAAATTTTTCTCCTCATAAACGACTTTGGGAGCAAAAGGGGATCAGCAGAAGAGACAAGTATGGTGATAAATTAGAATACTTTAATGCCCTGCGTATGTTAGAAGGCTCTTTTAATTATTTACAATGTTCAATGACAAAGTTCAGCACATGATAAAGAAGTCGGATTCCAACATGCGGAGTGCTCTATCACCAAAATTAAAATTACATGCCGTGCTTTATTTTCTAGCAACAGGAATCAGTATCCGAGTTCTTAGTCACTTCTTTAGAATATCAAAGGCCAGTGTTTGCATGATGATTAGATGTATGTGAAGAAATATATACAGCACTGAACGATTTCATAGAGGTAAGGAAAGACACTTTGTTGGATATTTTTATTTATTAGTTACTGTTTTAATCTAATGAAGTTAGAGGTATATTAGCTTCTTAACGTGATATTTAATTTAATATTGATAAAAAGTGTCACTTGGTGCGGAAATTGATGATATAGCTCTTGACAAAATATCGTTCGATGGTGCATGCGACATAGTAATAACTGAACCTTGTGACAACGGAAACTGTTGTGGTTGACCTTTAAAGAATTCAATTTTAGAATGAATATTTACCGTTAAATGTATCTTGCAACTCCGGTGAACATATCGCACCTCTGTTGCAATACCGTCATAAGTAAAAATTGGTAAATTTTACAGGAGAGCAGTTTAAAGTTTTACTATTCAATAAAACAACTTGTATAGTAACTAAAAAACGTATATTGTTTTATTTTTGTTGATACATTGCATTCTTTATAATCTTATTGTGACTGAAGAAATACAAAACAAACAGTAACTGATTAAATTATTATAATTTTGAATATTTTAATAATTAAATGTGAGATGTGGCAGTCTTGCATAACGGAATGGAGTATGTTTTAGTCAGTCGTAACTTAAAACCGACGATTGCTACATACAAAACTGCAATAAAGTTTTGTTTTACACCAGAATAGATTGTCAAAAAAAATTACTAATTTCGCATAAGTTGAGTAAAAGTATGAAAGTATAAAAATTGATTGATAAAAATTAGTATTATAGAATTATTAGAAATAATTAACTATGCCCAATTAATCTATTTTTTATCTACAGTTCAAGCTTTAAGTTTTCAGGCTGTAATAAAAAGGATGGATGACATTGGATTCACAGAGGGAAACTAAATCTTTTTTTTTTCAGAAGAAATTTTTGGTGAAGTAACAAAAGCTTTTTTTAGTACAACATTTGAACCACGTGTAGTACGCCGAATAACTACTGTTTTAAAGGACTCGTTTTCATCATACGTATACTTATATTGAAAACTAGTAGACTGTTCCTTTGTAACACGCAATATTTTTATATCGTTCCATCTAACTTTATTACCACAGACATCGACATTATAATTAGTTCCATAGTGTTGGGATAGATCTTTTAAGTCTACAATATCTGCTGTTTCCATCTCCGTAACAGAATATGGTTGCCCAGTTTTTTTTGCCGTTTGAATTACAGTTACTTACTGTGCAGGAATGTATATGGGTCCAGATTTTAGGGTTCTTTTCTTTTGTTTTTCTACAACGGAGTGCATGCTGTCTCCTTCATTCTGTCCATGTCCTACAGCGAAATATTTGTGGGTAGTAAATGGTATATCATACTTTCCTACAGTTATCCGAATAGAACACAACATCTTGTGTACGACTGTGTTCTACTAGAAACTTCACAGAACTTCCAATTTCGTTAGATCCTCTATGTGCCACTGACTCCAAAAATAGCAATAACCGTTCATGGTTCCTACATTATATATTGTAAAATTATAAGAAGATAATCGACGTTTATAATAAAAAATTGAAATTTCCCCAACAGGAGATGGCAAAACAGCTTGAAGGTCATAACAAGCCATAACGATTTTACCCTGTTTAGCTTCCTAAGCATCTTTTTCCTTTTCTTTTCGAGAATCATTTTTTAATTTTATATGTTGCTCATAATTTTCTTTCAAGTCATCTTTACATTCTGCGTTTTTGTAGACTGTGCAGATCGAGCACTGATCTTTTTTTGGCACGAAAAAACCGATAATAAATTCCGTATTAAAAATTTTCGTATATAAATGTATATTTGCTACCTCTCTACCCTCCTTTTCACATCTCTCTCTGTACAATTTATACATTGATGCAAGGTTTAGCCCTGCATCGATATATTTCCGCGACGTTTGGGCCCTCAAATAGTGAGACTCTATCCTAGGGATACTATTAATATGATCAAGTATATGATTTTTAATTTCTGCTGCAATTGTTTTGTGATTTTGATGTTTCCCTCTGAAATCGTGTTTAATTATAGAATTTTTACATTTATCTCTAACACTACGAATGAACCTGTTACCTATGTCAAATGTGCTCATAAACATTTTTTTGCAGATTCTAATTTTTACACTATTAACAGTAACATAATAAGCTGAGTTTAATTGTCTTGGTGTACTACAACCTGAAGATCGATACTTCGGTTAAATTGAAACCATACAGTCTTGCAAATAATACCTTTGTTGTGTTACATCTCCAATTTGGCAGAATTGACACAGTAACATCTGCCTATCAACGTCAGATAATTTATCTCTACACTTCATAGAACATTTGTCATTACATGGTGGTTTCAGAGAACGTGCAGGAACATTATTACCTTTTGCGTTAGTATATTCCTTGCCTGTATTTCAAAGTCTTTTTCTAATATTTCGTGTCCACTGATCCTTGTTCAACAGTCGCTTCTTTCCACGTTTAACACCATCTGAAACAGCAGTCGATAAAGTCAAACAGAAAAAGCCAAAAGCTTGTGGATAATAAGATGGCATTGAGTGAAAAATAAAAGTATGAACTTACCTGTCTTAACTTGTTCTGATTTTTCTGGTAACAAATTTGTGATTAACAATCCCTGTTCTGATGTGACAGGGTCCAATGTGTGATCAGCATTTGCTTGGTTGTCTGAATCAGTATCTGATAACTCCCTTTCTGATTCTAAAGGTCCCAACGTACAATCAACATGTGGATCATCAATCGCTTGATGATCAGAGTCAGTATTTGCTAACTTTAGTTCTGGTGATAATATAGGTTTCCATAACATCTCAGCGTATGTCTCAACTACATCGCTATCTGGGATATCTCTGTCGTTCGAGACAGAGGAGGGACAATCTTAAATTACATCTAATAATACCTTAGAGCTATTATTAATATTTTCTATTATCACATCCTGCAAACCAGAAATGAATAAGAATTAATAACACAAACGCGTTTCAAATAGATACCGGGTTAGCGTAATATAAAAATGTATACTAAAACACCTTACAAACAAGTAATTCACAAATAACGGCAGGTAGTAAAATATTTTTAAAATTTTTGTTAGGTTAGAAACACTTACATACCTCTACACTATTATTAAGGCTCCTATATTCATCAGTTTCTTGTAAAACAAGATTTAACATTATTTTTCCTCTTGAATATCCACTCATTTTTTTCTAAAATCACTGTACTTTACTAAACAATGGGTTATAAAACACTGAAAAACACTAAAATAAAGTACACGTGCACGCTAAAAAAACGGAAATGAGACTGAATACAATCCAAACGACTGATTCAATACCGCCATAAGTAAAATGTGGCGGCATTGTAGTCGACTAGACTGATATCTCCTTGTGCAATACTGCCGCAATTCATAATGTGGTAGTATTGCAGGCTGTGATTTCAATATTTTTAAAATGTCATAAAGACACTTTATATTATACTGTGGACATTTATTGAATTTTCATTTGTGGCAGCTTTGCACCGCATTAATTGACGTTTTTGTAGATGTTTTAGACCAAAAAACCGAAATTCAATTTTTCGGAGTTGTGGCGGTATTGCAACAGAGGTGCGATATCTGCTTTTCATGCGGGATGTTCTCGATTCTTGGTGGAGTTTTATATTGTTTAGGTAAAGTTTCTGCAATATCTACGACAATAAAGTTATGCTTAATCTCTTTTTATCTGATCAAGTTGTTCTACAATGTTTAAATAATAAACACATTGCTCAAAACAAGTTTTATGCAGGTATTTTGTTACCGTTCCGGTAAACTCTTAACCTCAAATTAATATTAAGAAGCATATTTTAGTAAAAAACAAGATTTATTATTAATTCAACATACCTTCATACTGTTTTTGTCCCAGATTAAGTAAAAGTCTACTTCTTGCTGACATTTTCGCAACTTATTTCATTATTTTCACTATAAAACTACACAGTACGATTTTAGACGTAAAGAACAACATAACCTAACTTTAGGGATCTATGTAACATGACATGACAACAGCAATCCGTTTGGTCAGACATAAAAGATCTATGTACAATATTGAGCACATGGATCTTTTATGCACTTTTGTAATAAAATATTGCTTGGTACATAGATCCTTTATCCCCTAAATAAATCGTTGCTAAACGTTTTTAGGCCAAATTTAAAAAAAAATGTTACCTAGATCCTTTATGCACTTGTGTCTTCAATTATATAATCAATTAGAGTCTGCGATGTAGGGGTTATATGAGTTGGCCCATCAATAATCTGTACCAACTTAAAACTGTCAAGTAAGTCATTAACCCTTTCAGTATATTTGTCCCTTCTAAGGACAAACCATTTGGGTGTCACGAAGTACCACTTGATAATTACTGTAAAAAAAATTAAACCAGGTTTGAATTTACATCATTTACCTTATTTGTGTCATATTTAGTGACCAACATTTCCATATTGTCAATATTTTGGATTTTGGACAATGTCCTTTTCTAGGGACAAAATTACTTAGAAACATAAAGTTAAGAAAAATAAACTGAAATTATTTATTAGAAAAACGTAATATGTAGTGAAATACAAATAAATACTTACTAAGATTTGGAATGGAATTTTACAAAACAATTTCTACCCTTAATTATGCATAAATGTATATTACATTTTGAACAATAAATATGAATTTTATATTTGCACATTTCAAGCTTGCATCTCGTATTCTCCTTTTTTCTCATCGACAAGTGGCATGTGGTGATGGCCATCATACCTCATCTCGTTATATGGAATAGATTCATAACGTGCCCTTTTCGATGGCACATCATCATTTTGATCGATTGGTCTTCCTCTTTTGGGAGCTACTCTAAACAAGATGAGATGTTCCGCGACACTCTCTCGGAACCCAAGCAAATCCAAAATCTTTTTTGTTGGCACACCCAAGGCTTCGGCTTGCTGTTTGTATTCTAACCAAGAATTGACTAAAACCATATCAATAGCATGGCATATCATTCGTACTGTCCACTTTTTGGAACGAATGTATGAGCGATATGTGCTAAGCAAAAAAACTAATTTATCGACACCGCCCATGTTTTTATTATACAATCTTATGGATTCGGGTCTTGAGACTTGTATATAAGTTTTCGTAGTTTTCTTCCATCTGGTACATTGCTCCTCTTGTCCAACTCCGACGAAATTTGAGCCCGTAATAACAGTCTTATTGTCATACCATTTGGTAAGTATAATACCATCCTTACTAAGGGAGATAGCAGAAGATCCTCGATTATCTTTTTTAGATCCTTACCGCTTGGCAACGCTGGATGGAAAAAACGGTTTACTCTAATTGTTCCGATGGCAAATATTGATTTCGATGCCAGGAATTGAAAAAGATTGTATGAACTGAAATATTGGTCAAAATATTTCAGTTCATACATGCCTATGCCCATGATTTTTTTCAGTAATTCTTTCGGATAGCTGCATAATTATCCCAGCTTCTTTACCAAAACTTCCGTAGACTGGATTTAGTTCCGTAGTCGACCCTTGATATATCAGAAAATCGTATATGAGCCCACTTGGTACAGCAAGTACAAAAATTTTTATTCCCCATTTCGTGGGTTTGTTGTTGATGTACTGCTTAACGTTTATCTGCCCTTTAAAGGGCACCATTTGTTCATCTACGCACAAATTGAGGAAGGTCTTGACATCGTTTTTTAATAGAATCATATAAATCGCGCACTTTCCAAAATTTGTCTTGGTTGCCTTCTGGCCTGGCTGTACTGTCTACCAAATAAAGTCTGTCCAAGTTTGAAGAATCTGTTTATAGACAAAGCATCCTTAATTAGTGGAATTCCATATTTTGTGCTCCAGTACATGCGGGCTCGTGGAAACTGTAAATTTCCTGTTGTAATGTGGATTCCAATGAATTTTTTTATTTCTTGGACACTTGTTGCGTGGAACCGAGCAACATTTTTCTGAGTAGCATACAAATTAGTCATATCTGACATTTGCTGCCAAAGTTCTTCAGGCACATATTGCATAAAAAATTGAATAGGTGTTGGTATTCCTACGGTAAGCTCATTAACAACAGGTGGTTTATACCACTTAACTTTTCTAGTTTCAAAAGTGACATCCTTCATCCATCTTATTTTACTCTTATCAGTCAAAGTATGCATTTCTTGAAAATTTTGAATGATTTTTTTCAATTCACCATCAGGTTTCTCTTGGAAATTATCAGGTTCCTCATGCTCTGAATAATCTTCATTTTCTCCCTCTTCAACTTGTGAAGTTAGTCTTTCAAAAATGTTTTCATCTGGAATATTTTGGTGATCGTCATCATCCCAACCACAATCTTCTTCAACAGACATATCAGGAATATCGGACTCATCATCATTATGTAAGTAGTAAAGCAGCTCCTCTTCTGTAAGCTTTTTTTGTTTTTTGACATAATCTAAAATAAAAACGTTATATTACCCAACTATCCGACCGTATAGATATTTTTAATTCTAAAAGACCTAATACAGTGGAACCCCGATAAGTCGGTCCCTGATAACCCGGAAATCCGGTTAACCCGGACCGATTTTCATCAGACAAAACAAACATTTTTTCACTTTGAGTTTTTTACCAAGAAATAAACAATTACTGTACGTAAAGATGTACTGTGCATATGTATTTCATGTTTTTGCAATTATGTGTATTTTCCTATTAAAAATATTTATTGCTAATTTTTACAATATTCTTCGGCTAACCCGGATTTTCGATAACCCGGATCGGCCGCGGTCCCGATTAATCCGACTTATCGAGGTTCCACTGTATTAGAATTGTTTCACAAAAAACCTCTTTCCAATCAGCATATATTTACAAAGTAATATTGTCCCTGCTGAGGGACATACAAAATTACCGATCCTGTATCTACGTAAAACCACATTGAAACATGGAGAAAACATTACAATAACAATATTACATCTCAGATATTAAGATTCAACACTTGTTTTTAATAATTTGGATAGTTTTTCAACGCACTTTGATGTAACCTCTCAACCTGACTTAATTTTCACTGCCGCTATGTCCCTAGGAAGGAACACTATTACTTCCGACCTAAAATTTTTTTATGGCTATAGTGACTGAAAGGGTTAATTTTATGAACTGGATTCAGATGTTGATTGAGTAAGTCAACATTAAAATCACCCAAACAAAAAAATTTCATCACAATCTGTAACCCTATCAGCAAGAGATTTTTCAAAAATTTCAATAAAAGTATTAATTATGTAGTCCTGGTGGTTTATAGACTACACCTATACCTATCAACAAGTTATTAATTTTTAATTTGATCACAATTTGACACTTGTTTTATGTTATTGTCAAATTTAACTTCAGAAAATTGATAATTATTTTTTATGTACATACAAACCCCTCCACCTCGACAGTTTGCTGTTGTGTCCTGACGAATTAAATTGTAACCATAAATTTGTACAGCATTATTCGGTATTACTGGCTTGAGCCATGTCTCAGAGACACAAAATATATCAAATTGTTTATCAATAACATAATTACCTATATCAACTATTTTAGGAAATAAAGAACGAATATTAACATGTGCAACTTTTAACCTACCTGTTATATCTTTCATCAAAAATTTCCACCTCCATTGCCTAAGTATTCTTGATATTGATTCATATGGAATCTTTTTACACCAATTCCAACGGGCCAGAAATCCAAATCAAACTTCTTATTGAGGGGAGTTCATACCACAAATCGCTTTAGCATTTTTTCTTGACTGGGTAGCTCTTTAACCATAATAGATTTCTCTTCCATTGCGCGTTTGTCTCGTAAAAATGTACGAATATCTTCTTCTGTCGATGTCCTCATAATTCTGTATATCGTCGTCAACACAAGAAAAACTCGTAACTCCATTTTCCTTATTTTTTCAGGAGAGCCTAAAGACAGTAACATTTTCATGGATATTGTTTATTTGAAAAAGATTTTTATTTGAACAACTATATTTTGAGTTTTTAAGTCATATTAAGCTGAATTATATTATGTAACAATAAAACACTGAAAACTTTGTTTTCAAACTTCCACAAAATTTATTTTAAATATTATCACTACAGCTGTTTCGGCTGATTGCCTTTCTCAAGTGATCTATTTTGGCTTGGGTTTACAAATTTATAGTATCTAATGAAATAGGAAATAGAAAATAGGAAATAAATATCCAATATTCATTATACAAAAAGTTTTTCGAACCATACTTTTTTCAATAGATTTATAAATTTAACAGATACTAAATTTAGTAACAGCGAGATACAACTTTTAGAGAAAGGATTTAAACACAACTTGCCCCAACATAATAATGAGAGAACTTTAGAATATTTAGGTGTAGAATGTGAAGTAGCGTTAAACAAAACTGCTAACAATATCGAAAAAAGTATAATTGCCAAATCTATTAGAGATGTGTGTAGTGAAACTAAGAATTCCTGTTACAAAGAGAATAAAACAGCAATTTCAATTAAAAATAAATCAATAGAAAACAACATCGTGTTTACAAAAGCAGACAAAGGTAACACTACTATTGCTATAGATAAAATAGAATATAATAACAAAACAATAGAATTCTTAAATAATCAAAATATTGAAACTTTACACAAAGATCCGACAGAAAAATATCAAAAACAAATTAAGCTAGCGTTAGAAAATTCAAAATCAATACTAAATCCAATAGAACAGAAATACCTCAATATTATGAACCCACAGCCTCCTAAATTATATTCTTTCATTAAACTACACAAACCGGATCACCCAATAAGACCTGTAGTTTCTTTTTATACAGCTCCGTCATATAAAATTTCAAAAAAACTGTTAGGATTATTTTAGACCACACTAAATTTTCACCTAAATTTACCATAAAAAATACAATAGAACTAGTTAATAAAATACAACATTTTCAATTACCTAACAATTCCAGATTAATTTCATTTGACGTAAAAAATCTTTTTCCTAGTATCCCTCCTACAGAAACTTTTATTCTAGTAAAAAACCTTTTAGACCAAAATAGTACAAATCCAATAATTACATCTGAAATTTTACATCTTCTTGAAGTTTGCATAAACCAGGACTACTTTGAATTTAATAATAAAATATATACAAATAACAGTGCAGGACTTATAATGGGTAATCCTCTAAGCCCATTGTTATCAGATATTTTTATGGATCATCTAGAGACAAAGATTTCAAAACATCCCGTATTCAAACAGTTTTTATATTGGTGGAGATACGTAGACGACGTACTGGTATGTTTCACAGGAACTAACAGGCAACTCGACCAATTTTTATCATATATTAATTCAGTTCATAGTCATATTCAATTTACAATAGAAACAGAACAAAATCAATCCATAAATTTTTTAGATTTAAAAATTAGCAGACTTCAAAACAAACATGACTTCTCCATATTTCATAAACCTACCCATACTGACACGACTATACACAATTCGTCATCCCATCCAACACAACATAAACTGGCAGCTTATCATAGTATGTTACATAGATTAACAGAAATTCCGATGTCAAAAGACAACTTTGAGACAGAATTAAATATAATTAAACAAATAGCACTAAACAACGGATACAACGAACAAACAATTAATAAAATGTTAAATCAAAAACTACACAAGAAAGCCCTGAAATTAGTATTTCCACCACCAGAGAAAAAACCCAGTACCTTCTGCTCGATTACATATACAGGCAAAATAACAACAAAAATTGCCAAACACATAAAAAAGAAAGGAATAACACCAGCTTTCCGAACAAATAACAACCTAGGCAAATATATTAAAAATAACAAGAGCCAAAATAAAAAACACTTAAATAGTGGTGTATACAAACTCCAATGTGGCGACTGCCCAAAAACTTACATCGGTCAAACTGGTAGAAACTTTGATAAACGAATAGCAGAACATAAAAGGGCTTTCAAGAATAGAAAAACAGATTCGACATACGCACTTCACCTTCTAGATCATAATCATTCTTTTAATGACAAATTTAAAATTCTTCACATTCAAAATAAAGGCCTTAAGCTATCTTTGTTAGAATCTATGGAAATCAACAAATTAAAAAACACAGATATAATTCTGAATGACCAACTTGAGACAAACAGTTCTCCCCTCCTCAACCTATTTCATTAGATACTATAAATTTGTAAACCCAAGCCAAAATAGATCACTTGAGAAAGGCAATCAGCCGAAACAGCTGTAGTGATAATATTTAAAATAAATTTTGTGGAAGTTTGAAAACAAAGTTTTCAGTGTTTTATTGTTACATAAAATGAATTTCCATCAAGTAACGGTCGAATCCATCAATGAATTATATTAATTTAAATTTAAAAAACTAGCGGATATAGCTAAAAATATAGAAAATTTAGAGTTACAGGTTTTTCTTCTTTTGGACTGAGATGGGCCTATGGAGTTACGTGGCATTCTTTGTAACGCTGGATTAAAAAAAATTAATAAAAAGCATTAGTTATCGATTTATAAAAACATATTATCTGACACACATAAAAAATATCCTAATAATAAAGTACAGACCAATACTTTTGAAAAACGTTTAACATAAAATTTAGTGATATTTTATTACCTACGTTAGAAATGGAAAATAGCCTCACCTTTCAACAACAATAAATAAAATTTTAATCTAAAATAAATCTAAAATAAAATCGCATAAATATATACAAAAACAAATGTAGTACAACAGTGATGTGATAGGACTTAAAATAACATAGTTAGTGAGGGAGATTGTCATAAAATGTGTGGTAATCGAAATCAATACTGCAAATGTTTGAATTGGTCTTTTTTTAATGGTATTCTATTTGTGTAAATAAAGCGTCGGCAGATCTGCGAAATTCTTGGGTATCACATCCTGATTTATTCGACAAGGCTGTTCAACCCAATTTTCACCAAATTTCAACTTGCAATGAATACCTTGTGGTGAATATTTTGTAGCTCTAATATTTGTCACAACTGCATCATCCTTTTTTACCCGGTCAGATACTGCTTACATAGTTTACTGCTCTAGTCCTTACAAAAATCATGGTATAGTCGAGTTACTACAAATGGATTTTACTTTCGCGCTCTTTTGCATGTTTGTATGTAATCACCAGGCACATTAATATCGCATCCTCTTAATTATCCCTCAATTGCACTATGCATCATGTCGGCGTCCATAGGGGTGTGCCCTTTCTCAAGGTATTTTTGTATAACTGTTGCCTTCTGCTTTAAACAAAGGTTTAAAATTGCATTAGCTAGAGTAACATTACGATTTTAGTAAGTACATACATCGCTAAAAATAATTATTTCACGTACGTTTTCCTCAAGACAACTCCCTTTAGTATATTTTTCTAAAATACTTTCTAAAATACGATTACACTAGCAAATTCGGCAATGGTAAGATTCCCCTCCGACTCATCCCAAAGAAAACAATGTCCTTATTTTGTGTGTAAGTTATAGAATGTGAAATTGTAGATTGTCAACTTTTTATATAATATAGAGAAGAAACAGCAGACTTGGGACATACAAGGACTGCCTGTAAATCTATTGTCAATACAATGCTTTCACTGTTTTTATCTTTAATTTTCTCATGTCTCGCTTCTTGTTTTTTCAACTGATGTTCACTAAATGTTTCTTGGTCCTCTCCCTGGACTGTAATTTTACCTCGACGCTGGTGGGAGGGCCGAGTAACTGGTCTTGGTCCCTGATTGTGTGAGGGGAGCACGACCAGTGAAACCAAGAACAGTCCAGCGTCCGGAGCCGTTGCACCGGGTGGCCGCCGGACCTCGCCACCAGACGCTAAAAAAAGGCGCTGCAATCACTCCAAAAATTGCGACGCCTTCCACCCTGTTTTTTACCTTTCCACAATTCCCTACCTCTCCCGTACAGCAGTGGAGGCGGCAACTGTGCGATAATACCAAGTAGTCTGTGAAAGCAGTCTGCCACCGCGTCCGGAGGCAACCGTGAGAAAAGCCTAGAGGAGTAAACCTCGAGAAAAAATCCCCAATATCACGGTGGAAGGAATCGTGCCAAGGATATGCGAGGTGCAAGGGTTAGAGCACCACAAACGATCCCTCCGGGATACCTGGCGTCCTTCCGGAGTATCCTAGCCTTAACGCGGTAAGGGCGCACTACCGCGTCGGACGTATAGGACGTCCCTACTCGTGGGATTCACATGGATACAAACAAAAAACCCGAAAAAGATAAACCAAGTAAAGACGAAAAACTGCAACGAAACCTGGAACAAGAAAAGGAACATGATACGGAAAATATAAAATCCAAAAATTTAGAAAGGGGAGAACAGCTGCAAGACAGCTTAGACGAAAGGCAAAGGGAAGAGGATGAAAGAAGGAAGTTCGAAGAGGAACTGTTGAAAAGACAGAGCAACAAACCAAAAATGAACAGATCCGGGCAGGTGGTTAGACAGTCCACGATGGTGGGAGAGCAAATTCTTGAAAACATAGAGGGAGAAGAGGAGCTTCAAATCTCAGATGATCAAGACGATCAGGTAATAGAAACCACGGGGGCAGACGAAAGTCAAACATCTCAGGAAATAGAAGTCAAAAAGAGCAAATTTATATATGATACCGAG